GCATGTAACTAACGCGTGCACGCACAAAATGCAAAAAGAACTAGTCTAGGTCTTTCCCGCGATTTTTTTTCGTGGTCTCATCTGCATTCGAATGTCGCAATTTGAATATTTAAGTTGCATCGTCGAGGTGGGTTATTTTTTCATATTTCTGATGGTGCAATTTATTTTGCTATTTTATGCTTACGGATTCATAAATTAATACGCGGAGCGAATATTCTGTGTTCGTCACTCATTTCTTTAGCCACGAAGTTCTAGCTATTATGAAAGTTAGAACGTTAAGGAAAAATGAGATTTCATCTTGAGAATTTGTGACTAAAGTTATTTGTCAATTTGTAGGACTACGCGATCGAAGATATCGTTAAGAGTTGTCATGTCATAGTTCTGGAATTTATCTAAGATTGATATATTAATAGATGTCGGAAGACTGATAGTCCTGACAAGAAACATCAATGAACTCATAAACTACCTCTTGGTTTCTTGAAACTCGCTCGGATAATTAATTGTGGCTTTTTAATTTAAGTTAAAAAGTCAGGATACCAATTAACGTGGTGACACGATTCTGTTGCCTAAAATTGGAACAATTACGCTAAAAGAATTTCAAATCTGACAACGAATGTTCAGTAATTATTGATTCATTTTTTATTTTAAAATGCAAATTGCAATTTAGTTAAATGTGAAACAGCTTTCTCACATTGTTAAATTGTAAGTATTTTGATGATTCCGGAGGCTTACAAAATGCATTTAATATTTAACGAACATTGACATTTTTTTTGTCATTAAAAGTTTAACTGCTGAAATTTAATTTTGAGATGCTTGGTCCCTAATAAAGCGATTTCATAAACTATAAAAAACAATAATACACGAAATATAAATATATATATACTCGTATATATGAATAAAATAATTTTATAAAACGACAAATACATATACATACATATATATATCTAAGAGTTTAAAACTAGAGTATATCTACTGAAAAGAAGAAATATTTTAAGATGCAATAAATTGAGATTATACAATATCAAAAAATAGGAGCTAATAGAATAATAATTATTTTTAAAATACATTTTTTGTTATTCTCTTGAGGTCCATTTATAGATTGTCTGTGTCTTGAAGATTGAAATATATATTTAAAACTAAAAATATATGAAAAGTCAACTTTTATGATGATTTATAATATTTGCGATAATAATTTGATTCATATATGAATCTTCATACTTTCTTTATTAAACAAACGTTCATGTATGTGAAAAGAGATACACGTAACCATTATAATAATTATGACAGACATCTCGTTTCAACGATTAAATAACGTATTTGATTTACGTGAAGATAGAGATAGAGAGAAAGAAAGAAAGAGAAAGAAGAGACAGAGACATATCCCGCGTATAACGACATTACCTCAGGTCGCGTAAATTGGCGGAAGAATATATGTTCAAGGCACACAGGAGGCGAACGGTAAAGGGTTATCGTGGAAGCAACGCAAGCGAAATTACAATGCCGCGCATTCGGTAAGCCGACGAGCCTTCGTAATAAAACACGCGCAAAAGGAGCTGTTTTACATTTGCGTTTTAATTAAAAGTATACCGTGCTTTTTGTCGATTCACGCGCACGCACAAACGAAGTAAACGTTACATAACTTTACGCGAGACCGTTCGTTCGATCGGTCGTTATATTCTGTATTACTTTATTTGATAATTAAACAGTTCGGAGCCTTTTATTTATTGAAATATCCATGTTCCATGTCCTGTCAAAAGTTTCAAAATATATGTATATCCTCATGTCATTTTTAAACATCGAATTATGGATCTGTGACGTTAGCACGATATTCTATTAATATAAAAAATAATGACAGTTTTATTGCAATTCCTTATAAAAATGCGGAACGCTTTTTTTATAATAAAATATCAAAATTGAAAAAAGTAGCAGCCAGGACTCTGTACAAATATGATTTTAGATAGAACTTTGCTAGAATTAATGAGAAATATCACTGAAATTGCAATAAATTTTTAATACGACACTTTTTCTCTAAGTGTCGTGCCGTCTTCTATATTCAAAGTATATTAAAATTAGTAATTGTTGAAATTTTTTGTTTTTAAATTTCCTTTATTGGCACAACTTCAGTAGTACTAATGGGATCTGTAGCTAAAAGTGAAAATATTTATCTTTTTCTTTTGTAATTTAGAGGAGAAGAGTCGTCCTAGATTCTTGAAGTTAGCACGCCTTATATTAAGTATTTGTTATGGTTTTTTATTATAAAAAATGCTAACTTTCTTTTATCTTTGAGAGATACTTTAAAACTATGAAAAGTCGGAAATAATTGTCATTATTTTTTTATATGATGAATGTCATGCTAACTTTACAGATTCTCGAATTACTCGATTGATTGCTGCATCGGTGATGAATTTAATTTTATTTATTTTTGCGGTTAAGGTTAAATTTCACACGCTACATAATTGGAATATTATCAATATGCATTCCTGGAGAGAGATGCGCTAAAGAAATTTTAATAATAAATTTCATAATAAATTTTTTATTAAATTTTGGATCGATTTTTATTTAATAAAAATTTAATAGAAACTTTTTAATGTAACACTACGATTTTGTAGTGTTTATTATACAATTGAATATATAAAAAATATATTTTTATTATTAAATATTTAACTTAAAATTAAATTTTATATATATTAAATTATTTTTTAAATAAAATTTGCTAAATATCAAGACAAGAAAGACAACGTTTTTAAAATAATAATATCTATTTAACGAGCTTCTCTCTAAAATAAAATTTCCAACGTTGTTGTCTGTAAAGAATTTTAGCACACACACAATGTTAAAAAAATGGAAAAATATTTATTTTAGGAATATCATATTTACACAAATCTCATGTTATGTTTATTACGCATGTAAAATTTAAACAAAATATAAGTATTTCGTTGCGTCTACAATAAGGTATTATTTAGCATTTTATAATATATCTAACGTAAACCGCTATTAAATCTTAGCAGAGAGAAAGAGAGATTTGGCAGATAGTTATTAATTAACTAAAATAATACTTGTCAAATCACTTGTCAAATCATCTTGTAGATAATTGTGTTGCATGCGTTGGCATTCTTGGAATTCGTTTTCACATGTGGAATTAATTAAAATGTGCAAAGTAAAAATGGTGTCCAAACCTCTTTCTTCTCCATATGAACCGACTTGCCACTGCTTCGCATTTGCGCTATCAAAGCACTTTGCGGTCGGCCACAGTGCCACAATTGTGTTCGCGTCGGCCGCAAACATGCGCTTCACAAACCAACGTACCTTACGACTTCGTAGGATTTTCGCTGGTTCGTCAAGAATAATTAATGAAAATTTATCAGCTCTCTTTCCTTGCACCACAACCTCGTTCATCGAGTCACATTTCGCTTGCTAACGCGATTGACGATAAAGCTTTTTATGCTTGTCGTAAATCTTTTGCCACAAATGCCCTTGTGAAATACATTAGCGCATGTTGCGAGGGAGTTTAATAGACTACTGTATTGTAACAGCTAATTTTTAATTTTTACGACAATTCTTTGTAAGCATGCGAGCTCGTTTTTAACTTAACATATATTATGGTATTGAAAAAGCATGTCTGAAAAAGATAACATTTTTGGCAAATTGATCTTCCACGATATAATTAAACAAAAAAAGAGAATATTATTATTAATATATTACTATGTGTTACAATAACATTTATTTACTTGCTCTCTAAATTCAAATATATTTTACTTTTTTAAGATTTCAATTTGAATTTTAATAAAGTATAATTAAGTTTAGTGATAAAAATATTTAACGTTGAATATTAAAATATTTAAATGTGTAATAGCTTTATTCTAAAGTTTCCTCAATAATCGGCAAAATCGATTCTAAAATAGGAAATTTTGTGAAAAGTTCGGGAGATTCCAGAATATACATTATGTTATATCTTATTACCGTGATTAACTTATCATAACTTATTAGTTAGTACATAATAATTACCATCTTTGATTGAATTAAAGTATGAAGAGTAATATGCACCTGTTTCTTTTTAAATCTATAATATAAAGAATTTATTCGGTATCTATTATAATTTAACTCCATTTTCTATAAAGACTGATGCATTCTCTTATGCAAAGTTATTAAATATTCACGTAAGATATTATTATATATAGATCAAAATAATTCACTTCCATTCAGCGTTATTAAAAGAAATGGTGCATAAAATCGACTAATACGCTTGCAGCCGGAAGTGGCGCGATAATTCATTATCGATTAATCATTGAAACACCGACGAATGTAGCATTATATCCGCACTGCCATTAATATCGATATCAGCTTTCACGATTAACGCCGATTCGCGACGGATTAAACTCGATTCACATCCGCGCAAAATCGGCATTTCATGGGACGGTAATTTACTCCATAAGAACACATCACAGAAAGAATTTAGAAAAAATTATTTGTTTTTTCTGAGTTTCTCATTTTTAATGTCATAAAAGAAAAAAATCTCTTTATATGATTTGCTGAAAATCGAAGCCTTATAATGTATTATAAATTAGGATCGTTATAATTTTAATAAATTTAATTTTTGGTATAAATAGAATATACATTTTATATCAATTATTATTGATCATATCGATCGCTGTGAGAAAGAATAAACATAAAAATTTACATCTGCAGTATTGAAATCTATTTCTATGAGATCGGTTTCAAAGAAGCCCATTTGTGTACGTCGTGCATCAATTTCACGCAAACGACAGAAATCGAATGCACCCTGCGCAACTTTAAGGCTCCGCAAGCTGCCAAATATCAGGCAGCGTTTTCCTCGACGACACGAGTCGCCAGAAGAAACCCTCTCTCTCGGAGGGTTGGGCGATGTGGCGGTGTGTTCGCTTGGGTGTTTCGAGGCCGCGTAGTAGGGAGCTTGCGCCTAGCCAGGCCGACTGGCTCGAGCTTGCGAGCTTACTAGCAGCAGCCAGTCGCCGGCTGCCGGGCCACGACCTCGCATCAACCCGGGCTGCTCGTTCGGTTGGTTCGATACTGCGCGAAAGAGCTTTCACAACCACGTTTCTACTAATCTCTTGAGTTCGCGTCTGAGCTTTTAATAGACTACATCTTCTGCTGCAATCTTCATCTACTCATGAAAATATTACGATAAGGGACAAGCTCCGCGAAGTTCTGAAAAGACTACGTTAAAATTCTTATTAACCGTCCGCAATCTTCCTTGTACAGAGTGTCCAATTATTGTAAGCTTTTGCAGTCGTACTCATTACATTAACAGTGAAATCATTCGATTGACTTGTTTGACTTTCTCATTATATTATTTGCAACAATTATATTGAAAGTGAAAATTTCCGTGGTGCGCGGACTTGGTTGGAAAACAGGTATAACTTTTAAGCGCGGAATTCGGACATGTAAGAATTTGTGTAAGAGATTGTGGTATCGAGGATTGAAGGTCGAGGTCGAGGGTGTGAGAATTACATCGTGTGAAGCAAGTGACGCCCATCGGTTGTTTATCCGAAGAACAGCGGAGTATGGCGGATGGGTGACAGACGCGGATCCACTGTAGGCTGAAGGTGTTTTTCAGCGTCGGTGGGACCATGTGAGGCTTCGACCATGAGGGTGAGCATGTGATTATAAAGCTTTTTTTATAAACTTCAGTGGTTAGAGGGTCTTTGTTTTTCGAGCTCCTCTTTCATCGTAATACTTTTATGCGACTTAGATAATCCAAAACAAATGCGATTTAAGGAGCTCGACTCTACAAAAGCATTGATATCTAAATCGAATGTTAGAAATCGTGACGCGAATCAGTCAGTATTACGTAAAAAAATACTGTGAATTGTATTACAGTTAGAATGATTTGAGTCAGGATTCAAATTTCGTATTTACTTTCGCCAAATGTTTCAAAACTTGCAAAAAAGCTATTATCAAAATTACGCAAATCTAAACTAATTTTATCAAATTATATTAATAATAACATTACAAATTATAACACATAAGAAGTTTCATTTATGTTGCTTATAGTGCAGATATAAAATTATGTTGCTTATGTTGCAGATATAAAATTTTTTAATATATTTAAACCGAACAATATCTAACAATTATCTACTTTAACTATTTACTTGTAAACAATACTTTAAAATAGTGGTTTTTACTAGTATTTAAAATGACATATAAACGTTTTATAAAATGATTAATAAATGATTTTTTCCAAAGTGCATTATATGATCATTTTTATTTTAATTATCGCCTTTATGTGGCAGTTACTAAATAGTTGAATTATTTAAATTACTTTTAATTTAATATTCATAAACAGTTTTTATAAACAAAAAATATATTTTATTTATAAATAAAAAATATAATTATAAACGAAAAATACATTTAAATATATTATATAATATATAAATATAAAGTTGTCTGTTTTTTAATGAATTAAGAAAAGAATAAATGAGCTAGATGCACATTAATTAATTTTTATTTTATTTAAAAAGAGAAATGTGAAATGAATTAATATAATTATTTTCTCTATTATATATATATAATTTAATATCAAAAGGAACATGAAAAATTTTCAGGATATACAGAGAGAATTATTGGAAGTTATATTCATGATTTCCATTGAACGAGCATATGGGATACCTAATATAGCTTTTCACCTCTTCGAAACAGCACCAATTATTTCATGCTAACTAATCTCTGTAATTGATTAACTGAAAGCAATTCAGTAGTAAATTATTTCTCTTGAAGTGTACATTATATATAGTATGGGTGCCGACATGCTTTGATATGTACTTGCTACATGTTACTCAATTTCAGTTTGCATGTTACAGACCATTTGCGAAGCGAAAAAAAATATGTATAGAAACTGCTCCCAACTTTATTTTATGTGAAATATATCTTTGTAAAAAATATACTTGTTAAAGAACTTTTATTTATTTAAAAGATTTTGTAGCCATTTGCTTAGAAACTTATATTAAGAATTTAAGTCTTAATCTAACATAAGTATCAGTCTGTAACTGCCTTTATGGGATAATTTAATGTCAAATAAAACGCAGTCGAATGCGATAAAACGTATAGTAAGAGATGATTCAAGTGACAACAGATTAAAGTCATCTGGGGAATTACAGTGGGTTAGTTCTCCGTTGCCGTCGACCCCGTAACACCAACGCCATAATACCTCTAGGCGAATTTTCATCCATGGTAGTTGGAGCGTAGCGTGGCATAACTTCTGTAAACTTAGCTGAGTCAAATTGGGAAGTATCCTGGACTGCGGTACTTCGAAATGACTTAATCGATCATTTTGTATCATCTTAACTATCTGCTAAAATAATTATCTCTCCTAATTTAAATTATATGCACAATAAGATCTTTGATATTACAAATAAATTTTTATCTTATCTTTTAAATTCTACAAAACATCCAAATATTTTCTTCGTATTTACATCCATGCAGGATAAGAATAAATAAAATGTACATTTAATAAGTGTACAAGATTTAAAAAAATTATATTTAATTTAATTTATATAATAATACGTATTAGGTAAACTTGGAAATTAAAAGTTAAAACCTATTTTTTTGAATGTAACAAGATTTAATTAATATTTATATTAAACTATCTGAAAGATGATAACAAATTATTCGAAAATTCAGAGAGGTTCCTAACTATGTCGTCTCCGAGATGCTGAACCACTATTCGAGCCTATTAAAAGATGCATACCATGATAAACTCGGGAACTCGTCGCCATACTAGGCAAGTTCGGTCGCAAACTTGGGTGGTAAATTTTATTTGCACGGCTAACACGTCGGTACTTGCCGAAGATTTTCTCCTTGATAGTTTCGAGCACAGGTTGAAAAAAAAATCGCACGAGAGACACTCACGACGTACTTCACTTTAAGCTCCAGTTGGCGCGAGAAATTTCGAAAAGTTCGAGACAGGTGTCGACTAAACATCCTCCAAGATAAATTGCACATCTCGTGTGACAAAAAAAAATCCTGTTTTAAAATTTCAAGCGATGTGAATTAAACTTGCAAGTATCTGGTTTCGCGTTGTAAACATCATCTTGGCAAATTTACTTTTACTGTAATTACAATCTTATTTTAATTGGAAATATTCAAAATTAAAATTGGAGCGAAGTCTCATATTTCCAATGATTCGGTGAATACAAGAATAATATAAAAATGGAAGATGCGCTGGTAAGAAACCGTCAATTAAGAACATAATCAGCAACTGCTCTCAGACTTCAGTAAATGCTGAAATCTGCGAGCCTTCCTTGTATTTCAAGCTTGATATTTATATTAGCAATGCAAATTGGAGTCGGAGTTGCGGCTAACGCTGCAACAACATTCAACGGAGCACGATTATACAACATTCTGTGAACGTTTACATAAAAGTGAAATTAGTAGATATAAATAGTTTACATGTGTACATCTCTCTTCTTTTTAAATGTAATGAAGTTGCAATTTTATAGAAGTAATTTCGGTGTAGAATTAAATGAAACTCAAGCTTTAAACACACGAGTAAGAATTACGGTTCTTTGACATCAAGTGAAATACAGTTTCCATTTATGTTTTTTCAAAAGTAATTTACTTGTCAACATAAAATATAGAAAATATTTCAAGCCGTTGAAAAACACAAACAATATGTATTCACGTCAAAATACGTATATCGTTGTGCAATGCAATGCTATTTGCTTATGTAGTGGAATTTTAAAAGCTTCTCGTTAACCATAAGTGAAATAACATGTTTACCTCCCTAAAATAGTTAGAAAATTTTATAACGATGTTATGTTTTTTCATATTCCGAAAATTTTAGATTCGGATTTATCTTTCTACGAGAGTTTCAAATAAATTATTTTAGGCATAAATTTAATACACACGGATTATAAATAAATTGTACATCTTTAACACGTTCCATTAGACATGAAAAACATTTATGTTTTTTATCGGAAAAAAATTATTTATCTTTTTATAATCAAATTAGGTTAGATAAGATTTAGATTATACAATTCTAATTTAAAACTATGCCTTTAATTAAATCAACATTTAAATAGTTTAGAAGTGGTAAGTTTAAGTACGAAGAAGTTGTTGGAAGAGACGCAATGTCAGACCGTAATGTAGTCAGATTCTCATTAAAGTGAAATTGAAAATGTTCAAATTAAATTAGTTATGTCACTTCCAATATAAATAATTTTAATCTTAATTTATATTTTCTATAATTAATTTTGATACAGAATATATAATATATTTAGCATACATTGATGTATAATTATGTAGTTACATAAAACCAAACTCGTCAAAATTTTCATTCGACATAACAATTGTTTTCATATAGAAATTTGTTATACAATTGTGTAACAAATGTAATGAATACTACAGCAATTGAATTAACGGGATTTCGATTCTTGATGGATTCTATGAAATCCGTTTACAATTGATATAAAATGGTTTTATTATAATATATCGCAGTGTGTCAAAAACAAGTTTGCGTTATTGAAGAAACATGTGAACGATATTTTTGATGAATATAAATTTGAAATGTTAGGTTATATAGTTCGGTTAATTAGTTAATTACCATAGAACATATAGGAGAAATGTAATCGATTAATTAAACAAAAATATAATACGAGATTTGATATTGGGCACGATATAAATGCATATACGTGCATATTATCGTATACATATTATGTTACTGTATATGAACACGCGGTAATTGAGCAAAATACAAATAGAAAATAGCTGCGCATGTTAGTCGGTATATAATACAATATTATTATTGAATTATTTGTATATTTAAATCGCCTTTATTAACAGTAATTTTTACATCTGATATTAAAAGAAGCATTTCACTAAGATCGAGATTAAAAATTTCATAATACGAGCAATATGAAATAATTTCTATCTGAAAAACGTTTTTTAAAAGTAACTATTAAATCTATAGTGTCAAATTTAACTTAATCGCCACTGTTCCTACTCAATCATATCGTTATTTTATACTAAAACAATGGTTATATTTGACACTATACAGTCAATTTGATACTATATAGTGTCAAATTGATACGATATAGAGTCAAATTTAACTATCGTTTTGGTAAAAAATAATTATATATTTAGTAGGAGCAGTGGCGACTCACGTTAGGTTAAATTTGACACTATAAATTTAACAGTGTAATATTTGGATTTTAAAAAATTTTCATCGCTCTCGCTCTCTCTCTCTCTCTCTCTCTCTCTCTCTCTCTTTCTCTATATATATATATACATATAAGGAATTTATATTAATATTATTCCAATAAATGCACATCAGAGCAAATGATCAAAAGATTTTTATTTTGTGATATCAATTAATAACGTTTTTAATGTCACTATTGCTCGTTATGTGTGTGATTCATTATCTATAGATCTAATTCTGTATTTAATTATTAACGAACATTTTAATAACGAACAAATATAAAATTTATAACATGTATATTGTAGAGTATGCAATCAGTACACACAGTAATAATTTGCATAATCGATATATTATAATATAATATATTCTTTCACACATATAATATAATATATTCTTTCACATATATAACATTTTTAATAATTTTCAATGTTAGTTAGAATTTTCAATATTATTGGAG